AAGACCACTCATCTTAAAGTTGCCAAGGTTGAGAAACACTGGTCTAGATGAGGTTAGCAGCCATGTTCATACCCACATCCCTTGCAGGATTCCCTGCAAATGGTATGGACAGTACTGACCATTTTTGACCAGCATGCCATGCACGAAGTCAAAGCCCTCTTTTATTCCAAGTCTGCTTTTTGGTGTGGCCAAGAAGATCAAGGTGGTGGCTGCAACCATGTGGTCAAAGCTCCACCTGTTTGTTACGTGTGTTGCGTGGGTGACCCACAAAAATGGCCAATGCTTTGATTGCAGCAGTGCCCTGTCTTTTTCGATCCTACTCCCAGCTTGTGCTATTCTGTGCAAGCTAGGATCCCTAATCTAGAGACTACCTTGCAAGCCAAGCTATGGTTGCTCACATCTCATACAGGTCATAGGTTGTTCTTTGTCACTCCAGGCAGCGGGACAGAGAGGAAGGAAGTGATAGGAGGATGAATGCAGCTCCAATGTTATGGAAAATGTGCTAATGGTAGGAATGGTCCAAGAATGCAACTAGTGACCCATCCGTAGTGACCCATCCATCAGTAGGGGTGCTTTAATTTGGATTCCTGCCTAGATCAGAATTTAAACTTGAGGCAGTTAACAGCCTTTTTCAACTTGAAGCCCAGCAAGATTTTTTTTAAAAAAATGAACAGCTGGATTTTTCCATGTGCAGACCCATTTTTGTTTAAGCATGAAAGGAGAAAGGGGATCCAACCTGTTGTTCCTAATGTCCTAAACTCCTTCATAAACTCTATGCTGAGTCTCAATAGTTAATCTGCATAAACCTTGGCATCTGTAGGGGTATAAAGCCATGCAGAGCTGACCGTCTTGACGGGTTGCTCATACCTTTCCCAAAGTCAATTCTATGTTCCTTGACAGGGAACAGACTCAGGAAAATCAAGACGGTGACTTTGAATAATTGCAGCTACCATCTTGACTTTTTTGACACACACACACCCCTCCATGGATGTCTGGGTATTCAAGCTTTTTAGACTTAACTGGAGGCTTTGCTTTCTTATTCTTTTTTCCTTGTTTTTTTTTTTTTTTCAATTATTTCCAGTCTTGTGTTTAGTCAACTCCAGTACAGTCTCTGAACGAAGGCTTTTCACAGATGGATCCAAAATAAATCACTCAATCTTCAGCTGCTGTTTTTTTTGCTAAAAATAACCAACAGAATCTACATCTCTCTCCCTTTGAAAAAAAGAAAAAAAGGAAGAAACAAAAAAGGAAAGAAGCAAAAGAAAAAAGAAATCAGCATTGTAGGAGGAAAAGCGAGAACTCTTGAATTAAGATGTTGAGACAAGGTGAATGCTATGTTTCTTCTGAAGAGGTGAACATTGGCAATTTGCAAACATGCAATTAGGAAGTTCACAAGCTGTGAACAGACACCCACAATAACCTGCTAAGAAGGTGGGAGTTTGTCTCTGAGCTTCATTTCACAGGTTTGAATTTTTTTTGTCCTTTGCAGCTGCAGATTCCAAGCCATCTGGGTTCATCAGGTTGTGGTTGCATGGTGAGGTAGATAGAATATTGTGTTTTAGCCTCCCTCCCTTCTGCTTTATGTTAGTCAGTATTTTTAATTAAGACTAATATTACAACAGGCTTCTTAAGATGCAAACAGGCCTGCTCTGATATTTTGAGCCTTGTCCTCTCACTACATCCAGGGCTCATACAGTTCACATCTTTGCTGATGTTGCCTTTGGCTCACCTAGGGGGCAATCGGTAGCCAATTTTAGCTGATCCAGAAATGCTAAGCGGTGTTGGACCTGGTTGGTGCTGGGTTGAGAGGCCACCAGGAAATGGCTGAGCTGTGGTCTAACTTGGGAAGGAGAAACACATTCTGGAGGAAACCATATGGAGCAGACCATTTTTCTACCATTGCCAAAAATAGGACATGGACACAAAGCCACTGCGGGGGGTGGGGGGTGCTCAAAGGAGGCAAGATGTGAGCATGACAACATGATCAAAGCTCTTCTGAACATGCGTGTAACATCAGTGCGTATGCCAAAGGAGCAGGTTTTACTCATGCTGTCACGCCGTCCTCCTTGCCCGTTTTGATTTCCCTGCAGGTGCCGCTGCGTAGATGTGTCCATGAAGTCCCCAGCAGGTGAGCTCAGTTCATGGGAGACTCTACCTTCGATAGCCCAATCAAAAGGATTGTATGGAAGACTATGGAAGTGACTCGTGGGATTGCATTTTTCAATGGATTAGCTTCACTGCTTTGAATGAAAAGGATTGATTGAGTTAGATGTCACAAAATCAACTATATTTTGGATCAGTCCTTTGCCGTATTTGGGCCTGGGGCATTAACCCCCATTGCCAGTTGCTACCCAAAGGGCATTTCCAGGAATGGATATTCATTCGTTTGTTCATTCATTCATTCATACATACATACATATTAGTCAATTCATAAAGGGCATTTCCAGGAATGGGTATTCATTCATTCATTCATTCATTCATTCATCCATACATACATACATACATATTAGTCAATTCATAAAGGGCATTTCCAGGAATGGGTATTCATTCATTCATTCATTCATTCATTCATTCATTCATTCATTCATCCATACATACATACATACATATTAGTCAATTCATAAAGGGCATTTCCAGGAATGGGTATTCATTCATTCATTCATTCATTCAT